TCAATACTTTGTGGCAAAAATGACCCCCCCTCATGTGAGTACAGTCATGCCACAACCACTCTACAACTGCATGCCATGCAGTGCAATGGTTCCGCATTTCCAGGATTAAAATATATCACCTCCTCATCACTTCTTAAACGCCTTTGAAAATTAATCCATAGTGGAATACTTTTCAAAGGGGTGGTAAGTACTGCTGCATGTGTAAACCTGGCATTACCATTTGGCCCTTCAAAATTTGGCCCATATAATACACAGGGTCTGTGGCTGATTAAATCAAGGTTAGGCAATGACCCTTCAATCATCAACAGAAGTTGTGTTATTAAAGTGTTACTAAACCCAGGACCCTGCATTCCCGATCTGGTCTCTCACAGTACACAGAACATGGAAGTGCAATTATTTTAGTAAATATAAACTGCTAAATATCTTTTCTCATCAGCAGTTATAGCAGTCTTGTGACTTCAGCAGAGCACTGGTTAAAGCTTGTAGGAGTTTTCTTTCTGCTCTAGGAGGATGTGAAACCCCTGACCCTCTGTCTGGATAGTGCTGATTGGCCCTGTGCTGATCACATACACTCTCTAAAGAAAAAAAAAAATCCTCTCTAGCAATACACACCAAACTGAGCATGTGTATGTGACTATGAATTCAGTCCGTATCAGGAGGTCATTTCAACAAAAGGAGGAGCAGAGAAGAAAGGATCAAGTAGCCTTTTTACACAATGCAGAGGATTAACCCCTTAAGTTCCACAGTGAGTATAACAAGCCGATTTTACTGTTGTGGGTTTAGTAACACTTTAATGGTCGATGTACATAGGCTTGTGTCGATGACATCAGTTTAAAACACTTTTGAGATCATTTCAAATTTATTGACCGGTATCTTTGACCTGCAGTTGACCTCCTTCTGACATGCAATACACCTGCTTCAAGAAAGTTCTACAATCCAATAGATTGTTTGGGAATGCAAACTGATTTTACTGTTGTGGGTTTAGTAATACTTTAATATTGGCTCAGTATCAGTCATCTGCTTCAGTTTAGTGATGAAAACAGACACAACGAAAGTGACATTTTCATGTGATTTTAGTACATTTGCAATATATTTTAATAAATGTGTCCCTCACTTTGCATGGCACATAACAGAGATGCTCATAAACATGGTCCTGTTGGCTGATTATATTTATTCTGCTCTGTGCTTTATTTAAAGTGTAAGTCCAACTTTTAGTGCCCTTCCTTATGACTCCTGACAAGCGTCACACTTGCCTGTCTTAACTTTGCTGGGATCTTTGCTGTGGGCCGACTCAGTACCCACACAGCCTCTTCTTGAATATCTTCACTGTTGGGTCCTGCTCCTCCTGTGCCATGATCTCCATTCATTTCAGTAGAAAATGTATATTCCTTCATGCTCCTCCACAGTACTAGGACTCAACAGTGAAATTCATCAAGAAGAGTCTTTGTGGTATTGAGCAAGCTGCATAATGATGTAGAGAAGTGACAGGTAAGGGTCCATAAGGGTGCATTCCAGAACTCATTAAGAGCTAAGCTAAACCGATGATTTTCTTGATTTGAGATCACCACTTGCTGGCAGTCACTTCATAGGGCTATGGCTGCACAGGAGATTTGGACCTTGTTCAGACAGGCTTTAGCTTGTGTACCGGAGATGTTTACAGTAAGCTAACCATAGATCTAAATAGTGTTGGCTATCACTGTAAACAAACTGCTAGCAGGCGTTTATCAAGTTTCAAGAAGTACTGAAGCCTACAGAGGTTTAGGTCACAGCCAGTGCTTCCATTTTTTGAGTTTAATAACTTCAGAATGCAGTAGAAGTTCGCTTTAAAGCCATCAAGTCATTTTCCCAAAGCTTGGTAAAAGCTTTCTAAAATGTGTGTTAGGTGATTGTGCACTTTCAACAATACATTTGAGAATTGTTCTTGATACTTTCACAATTGACACTATCTTTCAGGGCTTGCTTGGACCCAGAAGAAGCATGGTAGTTCTCCAAAAAGCATGTCTTGAAAAATTACTTTTTTGTGCAAATTACCTGCTTAAAGACTGCCCACAGTATATATAGTATACTGCGGGCAGGTAGCGACTCTGCACTGGAACACGTACTTGATACAGCATTTCTGGGCAGCATTTTCTCAATGTCACTTGGTACAGTACAAGTTGGTCAACAAGTCCCGGCTAATGATTTATGGTCAGGACCTGCTGATCAGCTTAGTCACAGCTCAGAGCCTTGTGCTTACTAATGTGCATAGGGAAAAGTGTTCCCCGAAAAAAGTTTCATGCAGCTTTATCAAAGGGCTTTTATTACTTGTGCTTTCTAACAACACACTGTTTAGAGAGCAGCAATGTGGCAGTTTTTTCTCCCTTCAAGGGAGACTTTTTCACTTTTTCTGCAGAGCAACCCCTAAACATTTGTGTTTGCCCTTAATCTTAAACAAAAACACCCAAAAGTCCATGTGCTGAAAACATAATTAAATTGTGGAAATAAAAGTGCCAACTTCTTTTCTTCAGAAAATACTTTCACCTTCCACCAGTGCACAAACCAACATCGAATACACTCACCAGAACTTGGTGAGTAAAAGACCTTTAAGGAATTTTTAGGGATCCTAAACCCTCTTTGGTGCCACGCTAGGGAAAATCTTCACCCTCCGAATAGACTCCACCATCCAACCAAAAGAAAAAAACTCACATAGCATAATATTGTCACACAATAGTAACTTTTTCCAAATGGAGATTAAAGCCACTCACATATTAAACACTTGCTAAAGGCATGTTTATTATGTATAAAAGGCTTCAGTTCCAGCAGATATACAAACTTTTCCTTCCAGGACTCTCACATCCACAGTGGAACAAAGACAGTACTCCTCTTAGACCAAACAGTGAACCAAGATGGCCGCTGGAACGCACCGCTCAGCGTGCGTTCCACTCACCGGAAATGACGTCAGGCGCATGGAGTGTGGACCGGAAATGCGTCAATGCGTTTCGCCCCTCCCATAGGGCGTTATCAAGACTTGATAACGCCCTATGGGAGGGGCGAAACGCATTGACGCATTTCCGGTCCACACTCCATGCGCCTGACGTCATTTCCGGTGAGTGGAACGCACGCTGAGCGGTGCGATCCAGCGGCCATCTTGGTTCACTGTTTGGTCTAAGAGGAGTCCTGTCTTTGTTCCACTGTGGATGTGAGAGTCCTGGAAGGAAAAGTTTGTATATCTGCTGGAACTGAAGCCTTTTATACATAATAAACATGCCTTTAGCAAGTGTTTAATATGTGAGTGGCTTTAATCTCCATTTGGAAAAAGTTACTATTGTGTGACAATATTATGCTATGTGAGTTTTTTTCTTTTGGTTGGATGGTGGAGTCTATTCGGAGGGTGAAGATTTTCCCTAGCGTGGCACCAAAGAGGGTTTAGGATCCCTAAAAATTCCTTAAAGGTCTTTTACTCACCAAGTTCTGGTGAGTGTATTCGATGTTGGTTTGTGCACTGGTGGAAGGTGAAAGTATTTTCTGAAGAAAAGAAGTTGGCACTTTTATTTCCACAATTTAATTATGTTTTCAGCACATGGACTTTTGGGTGTTTTTGTTTAAGATTAAGGGCAAACACGAATAATTTATGCACCTATTTTATATGATTTATTTATATTGATTAATTATCTAAATTTGCGCTGTTTATTTATATTTATATTGTTTGTGTTTTCACGATTGGCACAGCAGCATTTTTAGAGTGTTATTTGGAAAGTTTTGGCGCAGGAATACGTTTTCTTGTATTAACCCCTAAACATTTACCTCAGGACTTTTATAAATTCTAAAATTTAGGAATATAATTACAATAGTCTTACATGGCTGTATAGAATGCTGGACTTAATTCATAGAATGACACAGTCTGTACCCAATAAATGCTGGAGATGTGTTCAAGAGAAAAGCCTGATCCTCCACATATTTTGGTTCTATCCAAAACTTTCCTCCTTTTGGAAGACTGTATGTTGTACAACGTTTTACAGATTTCTGGATAGCTTGGGAACCTTCATTTTTCCTACTATGCAATAACTCCATACATTCTAAAGTCCATTCTGTATTGTGACACCTTTTGAACACTGCTAAAATGTGCATTCTAGCTGGCTAGAGATCAGACGCTCCTCCGTCAATTCAACTGTGTTAATAAGTGGAAGAAGTTAGACGAATGGAGGACTTAACATATGCACAATATTTCTGATGCATTTAATAACCTGGTTTTAATGGCACCAATTATCTTTTTCTGAGTAAACGTCTCCTATCCAGTCAAAATTAAGATGCTTAAACTATCCTCCAAACCAATCTCACTCTTCCCTCCTTGGCTGTTATTATCCCCCCCACACACACACTTTTACTTCTATTTCACTTCGGAACCCCCAACTCTTTTTAATACTCTGTTTGAGCACCCCTTGCTTCATCTACTATTACACCCTTACTATTGTTCCAAATTCCCCTATATATTTGAAAAACAGAAATGCACCGTCCATGACACACTCAACTTCTGTCGCCCAAGCCACCTTTAAATTTGCCGATATTTTGCAAACAAGTCTATTCCAGGTGCTTTATATTACATCCGTCAATCTACAAACATAATTCAATATAATTTCCTAAACTTTATCCCTGTTGGATAACTGTGCACCGTTTTTGTTAATTAATGTGTATTGTAATGAACTATATGACTTCTATAGTTCATTACTGGACTGTATGCTCTCTGGAAGAAATTAAGAACTGAAAAAAAATAAAAAAAATGGTATTCCAGTGCACCAGCATGCAAAATGTGCCTTTCTGGACTGATCACATCACTGGGACACACAGAATATTATTATTAAAAGAAAATACATGCAAAAAAAGCTATAATTACAGCAGATTTTAGTAATGGCTGTCTTTGTTTATTGACCCTGTATCCTTTCCCTAGGTACCAGATATTGGTCTTCTGCCTTATCTACATACTGCCTCTGTTGGTAATAGGGTGTGCTTACACTTTCATTGGCATGACCTTGTGGGCCAGTGAAATCCCTGGAGATTCCTCTGACCGCTACCATGAGCAGGTGGTAGCCAAACGCAAGGTGAGTAATATTCTCAGCTAATAACTAAATATTTCTTTACAATAAATGGAGACAAAAAAATTCAAATATAATTTTTATTGACATGTAATGTATGTATAAAACATAGTAGTCTAGATGGCCCTTAAACAATCACAATTTAGATTTTCCATGTGACATGGAATTACATACATGTATAAAATTGTTGCACTAAAATCTGATTGTTTTAGGGCTATCTGGCCCACTGTTTTATACATTGATATCAATAAAAATTATAATACTTTAAATCTGTGTCTTCAGTTGGTGTCGGTAAACATATAAAAGACACAAACTAATGCAGCTCAGCCTTTATTATAACATTATCAAATGTATTTTTAAAAATAATCAGCATAAGTAGCTGAATTTGACTTGACTATCAGTCTGTTGCAGTACCTGTAAAGCAGAGAGAGAGAGAAGCAGCAAAAGCAGCCAAGTCCATTGTGTTGTAGTGTTCTTCTGCTAACAAGGGACACGCTGATAGGAGGAGAAATCAGATCGACAGATAGATGAGCTTTTTAGTGCATTTCTTCTGCTTTTACTGTCAACTCCCAGGGTGGGAGAGGGATAAGATGTATAAATATTACTTAATTGCAGCAGCTGTGTGGATCTCAGGACTGGATAGACAAACATGCAAATTCTTTTGACAGGTGAACTAGCTCCCATATATGTATTTCATCTATGTATTTATCTGTTTGCCTAGCATTCAGCATTCATTTTTCAATTGACTCAGCACATGTGATTGGTTGTTGTGGACAACTGCCCCACTTTTGCTCCAGGTTCTGTGACCAAGTTTTTGTAAATAGTCCTTTATGCATTAGTATTTTTAGAATTTTTTGTTTAAATATATTCTTCAGATTTTTTTTAACATGTAAAAAAGTAATTTTAACATATACATTTACATATATTTGTAAATGCATTCCAAAAATGTAGATTTGTATTTTTAAAGACAAAACAGTATATTTTTTAAAATATTTTTCCATATATTTTGTAATAAAAAATGCATTTCAACATGCAGTATATATATATATATATATATATATATATATATATTTTTTTTTTTTTTATTGAAATATATTGAATATGGCCAAAATTGTAGTATTTCAAATATATGGCAATATATTTGGGAAGAATATTTTTAAAATATATTTCAGATATATTTTTCTTCAGTATGGGTATTACTTGGCCTGTATTGTTATTTGGGTAGATTTTAATGATGCATAAACCCCTTTGACATGACATCTGGGTAATTGTCACATTTTGTGTCCTGCAGGTGGTGAAGATGATGATCGTGGTAGTTTGCACATTTGCGATTTGCTGGTTGCCATATCATATTTTCTTCTTGCTACAGACACTTGATGAAACAAACCAGAAATTCTACCAGCAGCTTTACCTGGCCATTATGTGGCTTGCCATGAGTTCCACCATGTACAACCCCATCATTTATTGTTGTTTGAATGACAGGTGAGTGCAGCATCCATGGTGCCTCATCATTGAAACCTCTGTTATCTATAGCACTGCAACAATAGAGTCAGATCAATAGAGTCACAATAGAGCCAGCTTCAGTTCCTAAAGTCAGTCTGTGCACAGCACCTCATAATAGAAGCATTTATTATACACACTAAATGAGTCGCTTCAGTACAGCAGAGACATTGCTCCTTAAAAACAGGGAAAGCTAAGACATGAGAAAAAGTCAGCATATAGAGTTTGTTTTGTCTTTTTTTAAAAGAAGATGTAAACAGGTCCTAATTTTTGTCTTTTTTTTTATTTCCACTTTTTTAAGTCACCAACTGTTTGCATATACAGGTGAAAATCGAAAAAATTAGAATATCGTGCAAAAGTTCATTTATTTCAGTAATGCAACTTAAAAGGTGAAACTAATATATGAGATAGACTCATTACATGCAAAGCAAGATATTTCAAGTCGTGATTTGTCATAATTGTGATGATTATGGCTTACAGCTCATGAAAACCCCAAATCCACAATCTCAGAAAATTAGAATATTGTGAAAAGTTGCAATATTCTCGGCTCAAAGTGTCCCACTCTAATCATCTAATTAAGCCATAACACCTGCAAAGGGTTCCTGAGCCTTTAAATGGTCTCCCAGTCTGGTTCAGTAGGAATCACAATCATGGGAAAGACTGCTGACCTGACAGTTGTGCAGAAAACCATCATTGACAGCCTTCATAAGGAGGGAAAGCCTCAAAAGGTAATTGCAAAAGAAGTTGGATGTTCCCAAAGTGCTGTATCAAAGCACATTAATAGAAAGTTATGTGGAAGGGAAAAGTGTGGAAGAAAATGTGCACAAGCAGCAGGGATGACCGCAGCCTGGAGAGGATTGTTAGGAAAAGTCCATTCAAAAGTGTTGGGGACTTTCACAAGGAGTGGACTGAGGCTGGAGTCAGTGCATCAAGAGCTACCACACACAGACAGATCCTGGACATGGGCTTCAAATGTCATATTCCTCTTGTCAAGCCGCTCCTGAACAACAAACAACGTCAGAAGCGTCTTACCTGGGCTAAAGAAAAACAGACCTGGTCTGTTGCTCAGTGGTCCAAAGTCCTCCTTTCTGATGAGAGCAACTTTTGCATCTCAATTGGAAACCAAAGGACCCAGAGTATGAAGGAAGAATGGAGAGGCACACACTGCAAGATGCTCCGTCTACCAGGAGATTTTGGAGGACTTCATGCTTCCTTCCGCAGACGAGCTTTATGGGGATGCTGACTTCATTTTCCAGCAGGACTTGGCACCTGCCCACACTGCCAAAAGCACCAAAGCCTGGTTCAATGACCGTGGGATTACTGTGCTTGATTGGCCAGCAAACTCGCATGACTTTTACCCCATAGAGAATCTATGGGGCATTTCCAAGAGAAAGATGAGATACATGAGACCGAACAATGCAGAAGAGCTGAAGGCCGCTATTGAAGTATCCTGGTCTTCCATAACACCTCAGCAGTGCCATAGGCTGATAGCTTCCATGCCACGAGGCAGTAATTGCTGCAAAAGGGGCCCAAACCAAGTACGGAGTACATATGCATGCTTATACTTTTCAGAGGTCCGATATTGTTCTATGTACAATCCTTGTTTTATTGATTGCATGTAATATTCTAATTTTCTGAGATTGTGGATTTGGGGTTTTCATGAGCTGTAAGCCAAAATCATCACAATTATGACAAATCACGGCTTGAACTATCTTGCTTTGCATGTAATGAGTCTATCTCATATATTAGTTGCACCTTTTAAGTTGCATTACTGAAATAAATGAACTTTTGCACGAAATTCTAATTTTTCGAGTTTCACCTGTATATAAATATATTGCAAACAGGTGAGATGAATCCCACATCAGCAAATCTCTCAGTGCAATGCAATCAGGCTGTCCCAAGGGCTATATATAGAATAATTCAGTACAGGATTGCTGCAGTTGAGGTTTATTACAAATCTAAGCAAAAATTACAAACAAAAATGAGATAATGTTCCCTATGCAATAGTTTCAGGCGCAAGTATTTAATGCCCCAACTCAGGCAGGAACATCCATAAAATTATATAACAAACATTTTCCTACATTTAACTCACAAATAAGGAACCAAATAATTCATTAGAACCAGTTAAAAATACATGATTATCACAAATCTCCATTCAGTATTTCAGAGAAATGGCAGTCGAGAAATATTCACTCACCACCACCATAAAACGAGGGCGTCCCAGAGAATACCTATATAGAAAGTTGTAGAGTTTGATCTATATAGGATGTATTTATGGGATTATAGGTATGGCGTCGTTTTTTCTAACCGTTTTCTACTTTTTAACCTTTTCTAACTGTTTGATATATTTCTATATCTCTGGGGTGCCCTCGGTTTATGGTGGTGGGGAGTGAATAATTTTTCAACAGCCTTTTCTCTGAAATTCTGAAAAGAGATTTGTGATAACTATGTGTATTGCATTGGTTCTAATGAATTAATTGGTTCAATATTTGAATCAACTGTACCAGATTCTGAAAGCTCCAGTTTTATTAAATCCCCCCCCCCCCCCCAATATCTCTTGATGTATGTGTATATATATATTAATTGGCCACTTTATTTGGTACACCTTGCTAGTACTGGGTTGGGCCCCCTTTTGTCTTCAGAACTGCCTTAAAGTGTTATTAAACCCAGGACCCTGCATTCACTATATCTGGTCCTCCACAGTACACAGAACATGGAAATGCAATTATTTTTGTAAATATAAAATGCTAAATACCTTTTCTCATCAGCAGTTAGAGCAGTCTTGTGACTTCTATTAGTGTCCAGAAGAGAACTTGTTAAAGCTTGTAGTAGGAGTTTTCATTCTCCCCTGATTGTCCTAGAAGGCTGCATAACCCCTCACCCTCTGTCTGGACAGTGCTGATAGGCCCTGTGCTGATCACATGCACTTGCTCAAGAAAATAAAAAAAAATCTAGCAATACACACCAAACTGACCATGTGCAGTTTGGCCCCAAGGCTCTGTTCTATTAGCAGATGGATTGGGGACAGTAGAAGAAGGGGAGGATCAGAGAAGACAGGATCAAACATAATTTTTACACAGTGCAGAGGATTAACCTCGTAGGTTCCACAGTGAGTATAACAAGCATTCTTTACTGCATATACAGACTGATTTTACTGTTGTGGGTTTAGTAACACTTTAATTCTTTGTGGCATAAATCCAACAAGTTGTTGGAAACATTCCTCAGAGATTTTGGTCCATATTGACATGATAGCATCACACAGTTGCCGCAGATTTGTCAACTGCACATACATGATGCAAATCTCCCATTCCACTACATCCCAAAGGTACTCTGTTGGATTGAGATCTGGTGACTGTGGAGGCCATTGGAGTACAGTGAACTCATTGTCATGTTCAAGAAGTCAGTTTGAGATGATTTGAGCTTTGTGACATGGGGCATTATCCTGCTGGAAGAAGATGGGTACACTGTAGTCATTAAGGGATGGATATGGTCAGCAATAATACTCATGTAGCTGAGGCATTTAAACGATACTCGATTGGTAAGGGGCTCAGAATGTGCCAAGAAAATATCCCCACACCATTACACCACCAGTCTGAAGCATTGATACAAGGCAGGATGGATCCATGCTTTCATGTTGTTTACGCCAAATTCTGAACCTACCATCTAAATGTTGCATTTGAAAACAAGACTCATCAGACCAGGCAACGTTTTTCCATTCTTCTATTGTCCAATTTTGGTGAGTCTGTGTTAATTGTAGCCTGCGTTTCCTGTTCTTAGCTGACAGGTGTAGCACCTGGTGTGGTTTTCTGCTGCTGTAGCCCATCTGCTTCAAGTTTCGACGTGTTGTGCATTCAGAGATGGTATTCTGCATACCTTGTTGTAACTAATGGTTATTTGAGTTACTGTTGCCTTTCTATCATCTCAAACCAGCCTGTCCATTCTCCTCTGACATCAACAAGACATTTTCGTCCACACAACTGCCACTCACTTGATATTTTCTCTTTTTCAGTCCATTCTCTGTAAATCCTAGAGATGGTTGTGCATAAAAATCCCAGTAGATCAGCAGTTTTTTAAATACTCAGACCAGCCCATCTGGCACCAACCATGCAACGTTCAAAGTCACTTAAATCCCCTTTCTTCCCCATTCTGATGCATTGAGTTGCTGCCATGTGATTGGATGATTAGCAATTTGTATTATATATATATATATTTATTATGTGGAGGTAGCTCAGGTGGGGGATCACCTCCCCTGGGAAAAAGGTAGTCCAGACAGCAGGGCTTTCTTAAAATCTGACTGCAAGCATCATAAACAAAAACATAACAGAAAATAAACCATCACCATCCAGGTACTAACTAAACATAGGAGATTCCAATCTCACCAGTGAAGGGCTAATCCCTGTCACCAACAAAATCAAAACAGTATGCAAACCTTTTCCTTTCTTGTACAATGCAAACTTTCACCCATAGCTCTCTCAGATATGGCTCTCTTAATCCCAGGCCAAGAGCAACTTCTTGCTCCAGTCCTGCCTGATTTATATCACCTGCTGGTGGTCATCAGTGGACCACAAAATCTGGTCCGGAACCACCTCTGCCATAGTGGCCCGGCAAACCCGGAGTGGACTCCACCTTAATCTCCCAGATATGAACGCATGCAAGGTGACACATCAATCACCTTGCCTTGCATAATGTCACTCTATATTTATATATATATATATATATATATATATATAAAACACGTTGAGAACTGAAGGATGGCGAGTTAGAAAAGTTTATAATGCTGGATGGAATTTAGATATTCAAAGAAAAAGAGATATTTATCAGATATGGGATAATGTTTAAAAAAAAGTCTGATGCCGTAGGTATGATTATGGTGGAAAAGGCTTGTATTACACATTTTGCTGTCCTGTCCAGGATAGTGGTACGCAGCTAATTTGAGGTTGAACAAATTTCCAAATTTACCGCTTGAGAAGGAGGGGAAAAGGTTAAATTGTGGCACCTCAGAGTATTAAATTCAAGAATAAAGTAAACCAAACGGCCAAACTAGCATCTATAAATAAATCATTGTGAAAAATGGTTAAAAGCACAAAAATTGGAGAGCTGGCCATTTCAAAGTTTAGAAAATCAACCTCAATGATACTTAGCATAGGAGACTGGAAATTATGAAGAGCTGCTAGAATACATGCAAAGGATGTCATTGCCCTTTCTGATGAGACCTCACTGATACTTATCACAGGAGGTTGATAATTACGAAGAGCACATCTTTGCAGCTAGCGTACATAACATGTAAAAGATGTTATTGCCCTTCCTGACAATGCCATCCATCACATAATTTAAGAGCTTGGAGCATCATTCCTTTGAATGATAAAGGCTTAGTGACTCCATCTAATGGCAGGGCATCTAAGAAACCTCACAGGAACATGGTACACAAGATTTGAATTTTTATGTTTAGGGGAATATGTACAGCTTTTGTTGTACAAATAATTTTGGCAGGAATACATAGTTGAGTTGAGAGTGTGCAAAACAATAACCATAGTAGATTATAAAACTACTACTATGTGTGGCCACTGACACAGTAGGCGAAGGTTGATGACCTTGCTCTTATACCCCTGCTGCTCTGGAACTCCAATGTAGCCAAAGGCTCTAAGGATGACTTACAATATTGCAATGAATCTCAAGAGACAGTCAACTGCAATGGCGTAGTTAGTTTCCAGTTATGGTAATAATTATTGATCCCACTCAGCTGTATAACTTAAGCTCATTATACTCTGGTGTGATTTGAATGATCATACACCTAAGGGTCAGCAATGAAGGGTCAGTAATGAAGGAGTTTAACAATATAGCATTACAGTAATAAAGTACTTAGGCAATGTAACAGGCTTGTAGATGCCTGAAGTACTTTTTAATAGCTCTTCTATAGTACAGAGAGCATAGGTGCTGCTGCATACTTGAAATAAATGTTTGCCAAGCCAGAATGAACATATAGTCCAAAGTTTTTTTTATCCTAAATTGAATTTTCTTCCTTTAGTGCTATACCATTATTGCATGTTTTGTTATACAGTATATATACAGAATCTGCTCTCCTTACTGCTTTTCAGGGTTACTCAGTGGTTGTGCGCTATAGCGCATTCTGCATGGGGGATAAAGCTGAATTTTTATCACCCCTGAAATGCTCCCCCCTAAGGGACCTTTCACACTAATCAGTTTTTGATGCACTTTTGGTGTTTAAAAAAAATGGAACAAAATACAATAGGGTTGTGTTTTTCGGTGAGCTTTTTGAGTGACATGTCCAAGTCTCACAGGTGCATGACTGGAGTCAAGCAACCAGAAAACGCACCAAAAAGGCATCATAAATGCATATGGCAGTTAGACATAGGTGCACACTTATCACTGTTGCTATGCTTTTCAAAAATGATCCCCCTCAACTGAATGAAGCCACACCACAAGTGCCTGTAATGCAGGTGTGGCTTTTTAGGGGTTAAAACAGCCAGTGAGGATGGAATGCCTGCATACCACCTATTAAACACCCTTTTAAACAAGCCTTAAGACATTAATAAAGTCTTCTTGTTTATCTTGTACCGAATGTAATCCTATAAGAAGGCTTACTTTTAGGCACAGTTAATATCTTCTAAAACACACACTGTTTAGGAGATATTTACTTTAGTTGCAGTGAGTGACCTCACCGGCACATGCTCACTGTTCTCTGAATGGACGTGACTCCCGCGTGCATGCATGGGAGCAACGTCATGGCAGCTCGGCCATTCAAACGGCCAGAGCCTGCAAACCTGGAAGGAAGACCAGGTGAAGATGAAATGCGAAGAAAGTGCACCAATAGAGGACTTCGTTATCAGGTAAGTGTTTCATAAGTTGCTAATATGCGGTGCATACTAGCACATTATGCTCTTAACTTGCAAGTGGAGGATTCTTTTTTTTATTTTGTAGTTTACTACCCCTTTAAGTTTGCAGGTTCATTAAAAACCATGAACTCCCTGTATTTCCTATCTCAACAATTGTTAAACAACAATTGCCACTGAAAACTCTCTCAGGTGGGTGGACATAAAAGTGCTACTAAACTCACAACAGTAAAATCAGTCTGTATATGCAGTAAAGCATGCTTGTTATACTCATTGTAGAACCTAAGGGGTTAATTTGCATTCTGTAAAAAGGATGTTTGATCCTGTCTTCTCTGATCCCCCCTTCTTCTACTGTCCCCGATCCATCTGCTGATAGTACAGAGCCTTGGGAGCAAGCTGCACATGCTCAGTTTGGAGTGTATTGCTAGAGAGCTTTTTTTCTTGGGAGAGTGCATGTGATCAGCACAGGGCCAATCAACACAGTCCAGGGAGAGTGTCAGGTGTCCTGCAGTCTCATAGGATAGTGAGAGGAGAATGAAAACTCCTCCTACAAGCTTTAACTAGTGCTCTGCTGGACACTGACTGCTCTAACTGCTGATGAGAAAAGGTGTTTGGCAGTTTATAGATACTAAAATAATTGCACTTCCATGTTCTTCCATGTTCTGTGTACTGCAGGAGACCAGATAGAGTGAATGCAGGGTTCTGGGTTTAGTAACACTTTAAATCTAAACATTTAATATTAAAAAGATATAGAAGAGCAAACTTAGAAAAATGTGAAATCAATAAAATCGCAGCAAAAATAACTAATAAATTCACACAGAGGTGTAATTTTCATTCAGTGGATTATTGGCACTTCTTAATAAGGAAGATCTTTTCTTTGTCCTTACTGGGGTAAGGCTAGATCTCCTGGCAGCAGAAGAACAGTAAAAATCATTGGTTATACATGCATGCAGAACCCAACTCTTAACCAAGTAATGTGCCCACATATTAGTTGAACATGTGTTCTTTTTCTACCCTAAGGTTCCGCATTGGCTTTAAGCATGTGTTTCGATGGTGCCCATTTATCCGTGCCGGTGAGTATGAAGGGCTGGAAATGAAATCCAGACGCTACCTTCAAACACAGAGCAGCATGTACAAAATCAGTCGTATTGAAACCACCGTCTCATCTGTCCTAAACACCAACGATGAAGAAGCTGAGGAGAATGGGAAAAGTAGCAAGCGCCTCTCCTTGGACCTTACTTCCAATGGCTCCTCTCGCAGTGTCTGTAAGACCATGTCTGACTCGTCCAGCTTCTACTCCAACAACCTTGCATAAAGTTATGCCCCTTTGACGTCAGGATTGTCCTAGTCCAAATCATGATTAGAATTTCACTAGGCCGCATAACCCCTTGTTTGGGGGACCATTTTACATGTTTTTCGCAGGATACAAGTGAAGGAAATTTTGTTTACTATATCAGGGTTTTTATTGTTTATCCTAAAAATTAGAGATGTTTACAACCTAAAAGGTTTCATCCTTTGTAGTTGTCTTATAGTTTGCAATTGGGTAAGAACTGTATGTTACCCAGGAGGTGATGCCCCCTTTATTAAATCATCTGCAGGATTGTGACATGTTTACACATTTAATTTCAGCCTTTCCCTTTCGCTTAAAGTTTACCTGTCACAATGGACAATGTAAGCTGCCATATTATGGGCTAAAATAACCTATAGAAACTAGTGACAAAATGACAGCCTCAGCTAAAGTAACAGGCAAACAATGGCCCAGTCCATGAAATGACAGCATTCATTAGGAAAACAGGTACACTTTAAGATATCATTCCAAAAAATGGACAGGTCTATTACAAATTCCTACAAAATATTGAAACTGATATATGTGCTGCTCAGGGAGTCGCCAGTGTTCATTGATCAGTATGAAAATATCCTCAAGTATTATAGTAATGAAGGTTTTTATATATCTTGTTTTTAAACTTTTTGAACCCAGATGAAAAACATGCTGATTACCAGGTTTATATCTGTTATTTTCTTTGTAACTGATGCTTTATTTATAATATATTTTATTTTTTCAGTAAATTACATTTACATGAGTCAAGAAGGAGTACAATGTAAAATAAAGCAATCTAATATATAAGAATGTAGGATAGCCTTAAAATAACTATAGAGAAATATACAGTACACTGCTTTCATTTATTATCAATAAATTGTTCTTTAATTCAGTTAGTCTATTGCAAAATATAGAAATAGTTTATATATGATTTTACTAAGCCTATGGCAAGGCTCCTGTTTCTCAAGACAAAGTAACACCTTATATTGCTAATCTCCTGCCCACCCGTTAATATTCACCTAATACTCACCCACTAATACTCACTCTCCTGTTGCTTTATTCACATGCTGGAGCCCTTGGAAATACCAGGTAGGTATAGCAGAGCACGTGATCTTCTTCTCTTCCTCGCAGGTTTCAGTAATCAGGTCTGAATTGCCAATCGCCAGGCCTGAACACTGTCAAGCGGAGGAGAAGGTCAGGCATAAGAACATCACAACTAATGACCAGTTTATTAATAAAAAATTAGGTTAACACTTACAAAATTCCCTCATTCTATAGCATGCCCTTCTTATACGTACTTCAGAAAACCTATTATTGCATAGAGTGGGGTCTCAAGTATTAACAGAAATCCAGTACTAGCCAGTATGTTCTAGGGCTACAAATAAACCTTTTTATTTAATTTATCTTCCCTAAAAATTTTGAGCCAGTAGTTAGTGCGTGTAGCCATTGCATTTTAAAGAAAGGGCTCAGTGCTTAAAGAAATTCTAACTTATCTCTTTGAACCACTGGTACACTACATGGTGCAGGATAGTGCACATTTAAAGTGCATCTGTACATACTATAAAGTGGCATCTACATTGTACAGCAGACACCTCCCAGATGCCAACATGCCAATTATGTCTGCCTCAGGAGCCTCAAAACCCTTAACCCTATGCAAATGGAAAGCCAGCAATTATAGTTTTGAGCTCTGGCTCTCCCACTACTATCTCTATTTCTATCACTTTGACAGATAGCTTCACTGTCCAGTAGTAAGGTTCGGGAGGTGAGCTATTTCCGTAACAGAGGTCCCGGGTTTTGGGGTTTTCAGGCCCGCTAGTAGAAAGGTTAGCCACATATAGTGCCACTTTACTATTTTTTATGCCATGTTTGCTTTAATTACACCAGATTTGAGTGAGAACTTCAAAGCAAAGTTGCATACAAATGATCTCAGCTATTAGTACAGGTACAGCAAACAATAAATATCTAATGTAACATTATCCTCATTCTAATATTTAGAACAATACAAAGAGAACAAAGAAGAATGTTGTGTACAGTGCCTTGAAAAAAAAATCATACCCCTTGAAATTTTCCACATTTTGTCATGTTACAACCAAAAATGTAAACATATTTTATTGGCATTTTATGTGATAGACCAAAACAAAGTGGAGTATGAATACTTTTTCAAGGCACTGTAGATATCAGTAGCATCCAGATGGTACATCTTATGAACGCTCTAATGATGGTAAAACCAGTTATAGGATAGCTCTAGTTTTAACATGACTATTGTTTGTTAAAAAAAATAATAAAAAGAAGTTCCTTTAAAAGAACGTAAATACTCACCTACAGTGATGTAGGGCCTGTTGGAAGAAACCACTACAAGTGAGCGGGGAGTGGGAGGAAGCAATCATCTGACAAACCCATGACAGCAAAGTGGCGTGCGCACGCCACTTTGCTGTCATGGGTTTGTCAGATGATTGCTTCCTCCCACTCCCCGCTCACTTGTAGTGGTTTCTTCCAACAGGCCCTACATCACTGTTGTCTCCTACAGTAAAATAGGCTTTGGCAGGAAGAACCACAGAGTGAAGTGGACCCAGTGTCACAAAAGTCAGTGGCACGATCAGCTGGTCAAGTGAGTGTTACTCCTGTGCTTTTACAACACACTTACCACAAATTTGGCCAATTAAATTGAGCAGATACAAAAAAACATGCATTTCAAGATGATCATTGGTCCCAAAAATAGAGGCATCTGACATTATATGCAAATAAGCTTAAACTTGTCTTTCCTTCTTCCTGTGCCATACTATTGGTCTCTAAAGTTTTGACAGGTTTAAATTAGACCTAAGGCTCTCAACTACCAGACCATGGCCCATTGTCAGTCTGTAGCTTCTCCTTTCACAGACCTCCAGCCAGCTGCAAATAGTTTAACCTCCCAAAGTACCTCCCAGCTCCTATAATGCCCCCTAACCTCCCATAGTGGGCCACAATACCCCCAGGCCCCCTAAGAGTCCTCAGCCTCTACAGTGCCCCCCAACATCCCATAGTGCAGCCCAGCCTTAACCCCCAATCTCCCAAAGTGCTGTTCAGCCACCTTCAGAGAGCTCATCCCCTACTGGATCACCAAGTCATCTGCAGAGTCCCCTAACTCACTCCACAACCCTCAACCCCCCAGAGAGACACCCTAAGCCTTTCCAAAATTTCAATACATGTTTGGCATTCCCATACTTTTATTGTGTGAGTATAAACTTTATTGTTGGGGCATGGATTGTTTTGGAAGAATTTACTACTTGAATTAGTTACACAAAATTCTGCAGAACATTTAAAGATCCACTTTTTTCAAAAATGTAAATACATTGCAATACACAGTTTATGCAGCTATAACTCTAGTGCCCCGGACCACCTACACTTCCCTCTGTTAGTGATCTTGGCATCCCTTTTGCCTACCTGTTTGTAATGAGGGATTCTCAGACACACCCAATTTAGAGTCCTTGCCATGTCTCGCATACAGAAAACCAGATGTATCAAAGTATGAGGTTTCCCACAGCCACCTGATAGGTTCAAATCAGCCTTTGCACATCCAACAGAAAAGAAGAAAGTTACATGAGAACCAAAGATAGCTAGCAATCTATGGGGCATATTTTTGATAGCATCAATTTTGCTCAATAGATAGCTTAGGCCTTTTTTGATAATGCAAATTAAGGTATCCCGTAGCAACAGTTCAGAAATTATTTTCTATTGTTTTATATGTCTTTAAGCTGTTTGTAATCTGATTGGTTACTTAAAGTACTTTAAACACACCTATAGCTCCTTGCACTCCCCTCTTAAAAACTCACATTTTAATATAGTAAAAACAATTATAAAATTGGTTACCATGGGTTACAGCAGTTATACTAATTTTTATTTTTAAAAATACCTAAGTCTCTGCTGTATTCTGTTTTAAATATGTGATTTCTTAAGCATAGAACACATGCCATGGAATGCTTTCTTACAGGAACTTAAATTATATCTACTGTTGTACATTTAAAACCTAAAGTGGATTGCTAGTGACAGTTACTTGACATGTATATTGTGATGGGATGTATCAGTTCTGATTTATGTTGCTTTTATTCTACCTTAAGTGCTTAGTTCATTATCCCTCCCCCCAAAAATACAGTATTTATCTCACATTCTTGCAGCTCTGTTTATGTAAAATGTCATCTTGCAGTATAACTATTGATCGACATATGATATATTTCTCAAAAATGTATATTTTTCATTCAAAGGACAATACCTTTGAAGACATCATTGCAAATGCCCCATCTCAGCTCTCTGTGGTTCTTAATGTGCTTCTCTGTTTTCTTTTAAATGCCATTCAACGCTAATCAACATGACGTTTGGTGATTGACGCAAAATCTGTGTTTGGAAAATGCCTTCAGCTGGTCAAAGTTTTAACTCTGACATTTTAACAGGGTATTTTGCTAAATGTGAATGTGAACCAATGCATAAACTGTGTGCATAGACTATATCTTCAGCCTCCACCACCTCTCTGGACTGCGGTGGAATGGGACATTCTGGTAAAAGCTTGCGGACAATGGATATATACTGTATCCGTGGCATCTTCGACCAATAAAATGCTTTATATTCGGAAAATTCCATTGTGAAAGGACTCACTATAGAGCAAAGCCATTAGGTGATCATTGCTTTAATTTGTAGATCCCATGCAAATGGGGGATTTTATTTTATATTTTTCTGTATTGCTGCAACCCAGCACCCTGGCTTAAGAAGCTGTGTAGTCCTAACTACTGTATAATTGTAAATCTCTCCTGTGCTCCATGAGCTGTCATGTAGATGTATTGTATATGAGAATGACCTGCTTTGGTTATCTCTGAATGCTGTACATGTTTTCACCTGTTAAACAAAAGCAGTATTTTCACAAATAAATGTGCTGTTTCATTATGTGGACTGAACTGAAGAATTGTGATCCTGTAATAATCCGGAAGACTGGTTTGTGTCAACACCATTAGGGTTTTCCATGTTTACTA